CCTATGCTCCCCCCCCAGAGCCTGCTGAACCGTGGCAGGCTCCTTAGGAATCGCTGTGCCCTAAACCGCGGTGACGAGGCCGAGTATCTGGAGGCCACTCTGTGTGTAGCGGGGAAGTGTCGTGTCCTCGGGATAAGCTGCTTCGTCGCCCGCTTCTGGGTCAGGTATGAAATTGGGCCATATGCGTTCTGCTTCGTTGGTGATGACTCTTGCAGGTGTAACGTAACCATTGTCGGCGAAGTAGTAATATACTTCGGCGTTGACGCTTTCGCGAGGATTTTCGTCATCCATTGGGACGTCGACAGAGCAGTAAGGGAGAGGTCTGGCTTCCTCCGAGGCTTCATCCACGTTCTGCTCGTCCCAGTCAGCTTCGTCTGCTGCCGAGGCGAAGGCTCGGTCACCATGAAAACCACCTGTGGGGTCCCGGTCTTCTTCCAGGTTGGCAAGGTACGTCGGAAGTGTGAGTCGCTCGTGGAAAATGACATCACGTGCTGCTACTGTTTCCTATGAGTGGACGTAAAAAATCTTCCACGCATTATAATTCTTTTCAATGCCCAGGTGTAGACCCCACTGTGCGCGTTGGGAGAATCGGCCGGCTCGTGCAGATGTGGGTCGGTACTGTACCATGCAGCCGAAAACTCTCAACATTTTTGTGCTGCACTGTTTTCCTGTCCACAGCAGGTGCGGTGATGCGTTATTCGGGAGCGATGATGACGAGAGCAAGTTGTGCAGCATGACAGCGTGGTCCATTGCTTCGGGCCATTAGTGGTTGGGTAGCCGCATGCCACGTAGCAGCTTGCGCATGGTGTTCTGGAGAGTCCTGTTCATCCTTTCTGCTACGCCTTGCTGTTGGTGGGCGTAGGGAAGAGAGATGAGGCGCTTGATTCCTCTCTCTGCCAAGTACTGCTTGAACCTCTGTGAGGTGTATTCTCCTCTCCCGTCAGACTGGAAGCTCTTTAGCTTAACTCCCAATTCCCATTCTGCTACTGGGAGCCAGGCAATGAAGGCTTTGAAGGCCATGTCGTGGCTTGGAAGGTTGAGATGCCAGACATAGCGAGTGGCGGCGTCGATGAACGTGATGGTGTAGCTGTATGCTCCTTGTCCAGGTTTGCGATTATACAGGATGTCGCTGTACACTTTCTCCAGAGGCGCGTAAGTTGGAGCACTAAGGTTGTGATGAGATACAAACGGCCGATGTGGTAAGTCGGCTGGGCAGGTAAAGCACGTTCCGCGAGCTCGTCGAAGTTCGCTTCCGTTGGTTAGAAGCAGCGAGTCTTTGTCGAGCACGCCTGCTCTAATTGTGTTGTTTAACACTGTGTTGCTTGGGTGTCCCATTCGTACATTCCAGATATCTTCGCCAGCTCGATGTCCGGGTGAGCGACGGTATAAGTCGGAGTTGGAGTAGAAGCCTGCGGTGAAATTTGCGCTTCGATGGACTTCTCGTGGTGTTGGATTCAGTTGCTGCGCAGGAGTCGGTGGAGTGTCGTTGTCGATTGGGGCTGGTGCAGTTGAAGGACCCGCGATTGGTGCCGATGTTGTCTCTGCTGCTGCTGGTGTTGTCTCTGCTACTGCCGATGTTGTCCCTGCTGCTGCCGACGTTGTCTCTGCTGCTGCCGGTGTTGTCTCTACTGCTGCCGATGTTGTCTCAGCTGCTGCCGAGTGTTGAATCGTTGCTAATGCTCTTGTTCGTTCTGCCTCAGGAATAGTGTGCGAATACGAGAAGCCTTCCGAGCTGAAGTCAGGATCAAGATCCGGTGGGTGCGTCCAAGAGGTGAAGGTCACGATTCCGTCGCTGTCGGCGCTGCCTAAATCTGGAACGAAGTCGAGGACGAAGACGTTATTCTTCAGGACCGCCTTCCCGATGTAAATTCCGCCTCTCCCGTGGTACAGCTTAAACTCCTGAGTGGTGCTGTCTACTTCGAGATGGATGCCTTTCGTCATCAGCTGGCTGATGCTCAGTTAGTTGTAGCCGAGTCCTTCTGCTATTAAAACCTTCGACATCTGTAGTATCACGTTCGTTTCCCGTGACTGAAGTTGAACCACGCCTTGTCGTCGTGTGCGCAGGTTCTGGTTGTTGGCGACGGTGATGACAACTTCGCGTTGAAGTTGGTATTCTCGTTGAACAAAACGACCCGAAGAGCACATATGTTGTCTGCAGCAACTGCCCAAGAACCAAGTGTCTTTCCCGGACAGCTCGCTTTGAGCGATGGCTGCGTACGTCGGGTTCGGTTGAAGTGACTCACGGCGTGGGGTACTGTTGTCGAGTTGCTCTTCCGGTGAGTAGTGCGGTGGTGACTCGGTGATGCAGGAGTCAGTCAATCTTGCCATGCAGCTGACGATGTTTCTTGCTCCTTGTGCAGATTGTGTTGGCGATGCTGTTGAAGACTGCGGCTGGCTTGTGGGGTGCGCCTGTGTGGACGCTACCTGACTGCTTGAAGGGCGAAGTTGACGTTGTGGTGGCGTTGATTGCTGTCGATTCGGGCAGTGTGTGCGAGGGTGCCCTGAAGTCTTGCAGAGATGAAAGAACGGAGGTACGGGTTTTGGTTGATGCCGGTTGTTGTTGCTGTTGTTGTTGTTGTTGTTGTTGTTGTTGTTGTTGTTGTTGTTGTTGTTGTTGTTGTTGTTGTTGTTGTTGTTGTTGTTGTTGTTGTTGTTGTTGTAGCGCCGTTGAGTGTGGAATGCAAATTCGGGTACTGACGTTTACTTTTTGTGCCGCTCCTCTTGCAGGTCCATGTCTTGCTGCTCAGCATGAATTTCGGCGCAGAGTGCTGCTTCGGAGATCTTCCCGTGAGCTCGGAGTATGGCGCGAGTGGAGCGCCAGTGAGGACCAAGACCGCCAATAACAACTGTGACGGAGGCGTCTTCCGATATCGACCCTTCACATCGAAGGAGTTTGTCGCGCAATTCGCGACAGCGACTGATATACGCCATTCCCTTTTCGCCCGGTTTCATTTCCACTGTTGTCAGTTGTGCCATTAACCGACTCTGATTGACGTTGTCTGTAGCCTAATACAGGTTCTTCAAGTGGTTGTACGCGAGCTCGGTGGAGTTCCCGTATCCTCGGTAAGACCGAATGTTCTGCTGCTGGTTTGGAGTTCTGTTTCTCAGTAGGATCGTATATGCCATCATTGACTGATATGTGTACTGCTGCTTGTCGTATTACGTCCTGTGTGTTGGGTATGGCAGAGACCCGTCGAAGAAGCCAAGAATCTGCACGCCTTCCATCATCAGCTCGAACTCGAATGACCAGGTAAAAAAATCCTTTCCGTCGAATGGTCTTGACGTTTGCAGTTTTAGGACGTGCGCAAACTGCAACTGAACTTGAAGTGCGTCCAATGTCTTCTCTTGCTCAGGTGAAGGCTGCTGGCGCGGCATGAAGCTGACGGAACCACGCTGGGGTTCGTACGGGGCGAAGGTAGGTTGCTGTTGCTGGTTTCTTTGTACGTAGGATGAGCCGTCGAGGCTCATCGGTGTCACGTCGTTGTTGTTGTTGCTGTTGTTAGACTGCGCAGGTGCCCCTTGCTGATGTTGTTCGTAGAAGGACATGAAGGAAAAGAACTTCTCCATCATGCTTGGGTCGAAGCCCGCGGCTCGATTTGCGGGAGTTTCAGTAGACCTGGCTGCTGGTCTTGTTGCCGTGCCCTCCTCTGTCTGTAGGCCAGTGGCAGGAGGTGGAGTAGGAGTAGTATTGGGAGAGCCGTTAGAGGAGCTTCTCTCCTTCTGTGTTGCCATACCTTCTGATGTTGTAGGTGTCTTTGAAATAGTTGAGTTTGCCCTGATAGCTCTCATACCATGCTGGGCTGAGAAAAAGCCCTTAGGATCTTTGCAAGGCTAAACTCTGGGTAGAACTTGTTGTAAATGCGGAAGCGTATAATGATAAGTCGTGAGGGCAAAGTAGATTGATTAATCAAAGAGATACAAGGCTTTTATAAGAGTAAAAGGAATATGAAAAGATGCAACTAATAACTGTTTTACTGCTGCTGTTGCGGTTCGATACAGTGACGACTCGGGCAACTGCTCAATAGCGAGTCAGTTGTTTGTCCTTGCTGTCGCGCTGTACTTGTCAGGTCAAAGGTCGCTGACCTTTGACTTTCGCGTAACCTCCAGCGGTTTCTTTACTTCTCAACCTCCAAGTGTTGACTCGCCGATGCTTCGCTGTGCTTCGTCTCGTTTACGACTTAGTGTTTCGACACATGACAGAAGCGTTCAAATTACTTGTTTCCAACAAATAAACCCCTGTCAAGCTCTCCTGCTTTGAAGATGTGAACCTACCATCTCAGGAGATGGTGAAAACATAAAAGAGACCTTGAGTCGACTCGAAAGTCACCTCGTTACAATGCCCAAAGGCAAATGACACAAAATATGCTGCTCTGAAGAAGTGAACCTGCATTTCAGATGATGAATGCATCAAAGTGGCTTCTGGATCGAGTCAATGTGAACCTGCCATTACCTTCGTTTCGAAGGCACACGGGATGAAATCTGCTGCTCTGAAGATGTGAACCTGCGTTTCAGAAGATAATGCACATCATTGACAGAACCTCGTAGGGAGCCAAAAAGAATCGGGCCATCATTTCAATCCTTGCTTTCGCGGGTCGCCAGCAGGCCCTCGCTCACTTTTGTTTGAGGTTGATTTTGAGAATTCTCAAAATCGCCCTCGCTCACCAAGTAGCGCACATCCATACCTCCTCTGCATCACTTGGGCTCAGCTTGAGCAAGGCTGGATTTAAGATGACTTCTGGATCCAGTCAAAAGTCACATCCATACCTCCCATGTATCACTTGGACCCAACCCAAGCGAGCGTGAATTCACAATTCCTAACAGCACCACCAAACATACCTAGCATGGTCCCCCCACCACCGAACATACCTAGCATACCCACACATGCATACCTTGAGTGTGTGCGAGTCCACCTTCTCAAACACCACGGCATCGCCCGCATCGAGCTCTTGATCCATACCCAACCCCCGCTTCATCCCCATCACGCCCCAACCCAACCTTACCTAACCACACATGTATACAGCTTCACTGCACTGCACCGGTATGTGTACCTTAAGAGTGTCCCGATCCATCTTCTCAAACACCAACGCGTTGCCCGCATCCAATTCCTGATCCAGAGCAAATCCCCGCTTCACACCCACCATACCCCAACCCAACCCTGCCTGACCTCAAACGTATACACCTGCACCGCACTGCACCCACATGCATACCTTGAGTGTGAGCGAATCCACCTTCTCAAACACCACGGCATCGCCCGCATCCAGCTCTTGATCCATACCAAACCCCCGCTTCATCCCCATCATACCCCAACCCGACCCCGCCTGACCTTGAGTGTTTACACCTTCACCGCACTGCACCCACGTGCATACCTTGAGTGTATCTCGGTCCATCTTCTCAAACACCACAGCATTGCCTGCATCCAGCTCCTGGTCCAGTGCAAAGCCCCTCCACCCACCACTCAGACCCGTCTTGTGCGGCAGGTAGGTGGCCTTCCACTCGCCATCCCCCACTGCATACACTCCCCCCATCACCGCCCTCCTCCCCCAGCAGCTGCTGCAACCCCCCCTCCTCCGAACCCCCTTCATGTGACCCCTGGTTTCCGCTCCTCGCCCGTTTTTGGTCTGATTTCACGTCTCTCCTCTTTCCGTCCACGTCCCCATCTACCTTTCCTCCAATGCTGTCCTTCAGATAGCTGCTGGCTTGAGAGGTGTCCTTTGGATCAGCTGGTGCACTGCTGCTCTTGAAATCAGGTGAGTTCTGAGTCGACTCACAAGTCACCTCACGAGGAATCGGCTCCGGTGTCATCCTTGGGATGCCCTGTGCCTTGTGGGGGGTCGAATTTGAGAGTGAGAGTGGCTATGCTGCGAGGGAGGAGTGTCGTGCAGAAGCTTCTGTTCAGGCCCTGCGGACGAGGAGGAAAGGGGAGAGGAAGAATGGAGGAAGAAGAGAGATTCTTCCACCATATGAGTGGTGCGGTCTGCTTAATGCAATTACTCTGGGCTGCACAGCAGGATTGTGGCTGTTGAATTGTTTTGCCTCGAGGTACTATTGTGTGCTGCTTGTTTGCTTCTGTGTGCGGTTGATTTTTCAAGTTATGTAAATGTAAGGTGCTTCTTGGCCCTGTGACACCCATTTGCGGAAATGTTTGAGACATCCAAACACGTGAGTACGTGGTAGTTTGTTTTTTTGTTTCTTGCTTTTTGTTTGCTTTTGTAATCTTTGCCCACTAGTTTCATCTTCTACTCTTATATCAGTGACAGTGCCACTAGGGTGTACACAAAATAATTGAGATAAGTCAAACCGAGAACTGAGACAGAAAACGACAAGTGAGAGAGAGAAAAAACAAGACAAAGCGACAAGTGATAAATGACACAAGGAGGGGAAAAAAGGAGACACGACGACAGAAAGAGATGGACCAGCCAGAAAACGCCGGACATTTAAGACGGCTGGACAAGGCAAGAGCCAGGCCTCTTCTGAGACGCCTCAGAAACCGCGGAACATTTGGGGTGGCTGGATTTTGATGAAGAAAGAAGTGATAAAGCGTTCCACGAGGCAACGGAAGGTGTCAGGGAGATGGAGGGCGATGGAGGGACACGAATCAGCCAGAAACCGCCAGACATCTGAGATGGGTGGATGTGCTTGCATATGCACGGGGAGGGTAGGGCGGCCATGAGCCTGTCTGCTGCCCTCAGAGCCGCCTCCTGTGCCTCTGCAGATGTCACCTGCCTGGGCTGAGACGCACGTGCTGTGCTTGCTCTCAGCTTGCTGTGTAGGGTTGGGTTGGGTTGGGTTGGGTTGCACATGCAGTGCGAGGGCAGAGCAGCCATGAGCTTGTCTGCTGCCCTCAGAGCCGCCTCCTGTGCCTCTGCAGACGTCACCTGCCTGGGCTGAGACGCACGTGCTGTGCTTGCTCTCAGCTTGCTGTGTAGGGTTGGGTTGGGTTGGGTTGCACATGCAGGGCGAGGGCAGAGCAACCATGAGCCTGTTTGCCGTCCTCAGAGCCGCCTCCTGTGCCTCTGCAAATGTCACCTGCCTGGGCTGAGACGCGTTTGCTCCGCTGCTTGCTCGTAGCTTGCTGTGTGGGGTAGGTTAAACCATGTGGGCCAGACACGTGCAGGCACGGAATCAGAGTTGCCTCCTGCGCCTCTGCAGATGTCACCTGCCTCGGTTGAGAGGCGTTTGCACCGCTGCTTGCTCGCGGCTTGCTGTGTGGGGTAGGTCAAACCATGTGGGACAGACACGCACACGCACGGAATCAGAACCGCCTCCTGTACCTCTGCAGATGTCACCTGCCTTGGTTGAGAGGCATTTGCACCGCTAGCTCGCGGCTTGCTGTTCAGGTCAGGGTAAATAGGCCAAGCGGGCAACGGGATAAGTGTATGGAATTAAAGGCAAGGCAACGTGGTGATACATTCAACAGATGTCACCTGCCTCAGCTGAAACACGCGTGCACCACTTGCTCGCAGCTTGCTGTCCAGAATAGGTAGGCCATTCGGGACAAGAGCATGAGAATTAATGGCGACGTGTTGACTTGCTGAGCAGATGAGACCTCCCTCGGTTGAGACATGCGTGCATGCGCCGGTTGAGAGGATGCAGCTGGTTCGCATGACTACGTCCCTATGCATCAGTCTTGCAAATCTGTAGATGCACTGATGTGTCTTGAGTCGACTCAAAAGACACCTGCCTCGGTTGAGACATGCGCACATGCACCGCTTAAGACGTCCCACCTTGTTCGCATGTCTATGTCCCTATGTATTCTCTTGCAGGTCTGCATTTCTTAGGCACCTAACAAATGACTAATGGTGCGCCGTGCTCTGTCCCGGGTGATCTGCAAGCCAAGATAGCTGCGTAGTTCACCCAGGTCTGTGCATGTGTGTCTCTTCTGCAGCTCGGACTTCACGTGGGCGAGTCCAGCAGTGTCAGCAGTAGCAAAGACCAAGTCGTCGACGTACACGAGGATGTAGAACGGCGGCAGCGAGGTATTGGTGCGTAGAAACAGCGACGGGTCAGCAGTAGAAGGAGCAAACCCAAGAGTCGCTAGCGTAGTCCTCGGTGTGTCGTGCCACTCGCGGGGAGCCTGGCGGAGACCGTAGACTGGCCGCCGGAGGCTCCACTGGGTACCAGGAGGAAACGACCCAGTGAAGCCAGGAGGGCGGCGCAGCCAGATCTTCTCGTGCAGGCTGCCCTGTAGGAAAGCAGTGCTGAAGTCAAGAGAGTGAAGCTCGTAGTCGCGCTGAGCGGCAATGTGCAGCAGCACCCGAAGAGTGGTCATCTTCGGGGTGGGGGAGAAGGTCTGAAAGTAGTCAACTCCCTGCCGCTGACTGAAGCCTCGAGCCACGTAACGTGCCTTGAAGATAGGCGGAGAACCCGGCGGCCGCTTCACCCTGAAAATCCACATGCCACTGACGATGTTCGCCCCAGGTGGGGGAACCTCGTCAACGTAGGTGCCTGTGGACTTCCAGGAAGCCATCTCTGCGTCCATGGCTGACTGCCACTGAGAGGAGTAGGGACCCTCTATCGCCTCTGCGTAAGAGCGCGGAGTCGGAATGTCTGGTGCATCCGGGTCTCCCTCAGGGGCAATCAGCATGGACACGAGATGAGGTAAAGCAGCAGCAAAACACTGGAACTCCTCCTGCCTGTCCTCAAGGACGTCCGTGCCAAGAGCACACTCACCCCCGACGGACGGAGGACAGACAGACTCAGACTCAGCAACAAGACTCGCGGCGTAGTCTAGACGACAGTGAGCAGCGAAGTCGACAAGCTCAGCAACTAAGGCAGACGCAGCAGTGGACTCAAAGGAAGGGTCAGTGACAATAGTAGCCAGGAGACGCGTGACAGTAGGACTGGCAGCACGAAGGGAGTCAGACTCCGGGTCAGCAAGAGCAGGAAGAGAGGATGCAGGAGGAGACGGCAAAGGGACACGCAGTGGAGCAGTGGAAGGACGCAGTGCCATCTGGTGCATGCCCGGGACCGCAGGAGGACGCTGGCGTGGAACACGACGACTAGTGCGACCAGCACGAACAGGCGACGCAGGACGAGACTCAGGCTCCAACGCTCAGCAAGACCTCCAGTAGGACCAGTGTAGGGAGGAGGAGCAGGCAGTGGGGAGGCGAGCTGTAACTGTGACTCGGACTGGACAGGCGGTGGACACTCTAAGGAAGGAGCAGGACCAGTAGAAGGCGGGAGACCAAGAACCTGCTGAAGGAGCGGAACGAAGTACGGCCGCGGCCGCGCAGCGCCTCCAGAACCAGCAGGGACAGCACCAGCACCCCCAGCGTCAGCACCAACGCCAGCAGTACCACCAGCTCCAGCAGCACCCCCAGTAGCTCCAGCAGCGCCAACTCCAGCACCCCCAGAAGTACCAGCTCCAGCAGCACCTCCAGCGCTAAGACCTCCAGCAGCGCCAGCTCCAGCAGGACCACCGGAAGACGCAGCAGCACCAGCTCCAGTAGTACCTGCAGCAGCGCCTACGCAAGCAGCACCTCCAGCTCCAGCACCAGCAGCACCACCAGGCCCAGCAGCTCCAGTACCGCCGGTACGAGCACCTCCGGGACCTGTGGCTCCAGAACCTCCAGCAGCCGCAGAACCTCCAGCACCGGTAGCACCACCAGCTCCAGCAGCACGACTCCAGCGGCGAGCAAACCACTCACGCAGCTCCTAGGGAGAGGGCAGCTCCCGCCGGGACGAAGCACCTGAAGGACCTCCAGGCCCAGCACCACCAGGCTCCACTCGAGCAGGCCCAGCACCCTCAGGCTCCGCACCCCCAGACTCAGCAACCCTAGGCTCAGCACCCCCAGACTCAGCACCTCCAGGCTCCGCACGCTCAGGCTCAGCACCCCCAGACCCGGCACCCGCAGGCTCAGTACCCCTAGCAGCACCAGAGTCAACAGCTACCTCGACAGGCTCGACTGCGTCTACCTGGGATACACCTGAGGGGGCAGGACCCTGAGGGGGGAGGGGGTCTACCGGGGGGGGACCTGGCGCGAGGAAGAGCGGCAGGGGGGGGAGGGGGGCAGCGTGGTAGGGGAAGAGACGGTAGTACGGAACCGACTCGTCAAACGTGACGTCCTGGGAGGACAGAACACTGCGCGAGGCGGGGTGGTAAAACTGCCAACCAGGCGCGTCAGGGGGGAAGCCAAGGAAGACACAGGAAACAGCACGAGAGGACAGCTTGTCCGCAGACAAGTCTTGGACGAAAGCCCGAGATCCCCAGACACGGAACGCAGACGCATCGCCAACCTTCCCCGTCCACCACAGGGTGGGGGAGGTCTCCGGCAAGGAGACCCGGGGCTGAAGGTTGATCTGCTGCGCCGCGTACTGAACCGTGAACGGCCACAAAAAATGGGGAGCAGCCGCATGGATTATGGACGTACGAGCGACGTCCATGACCATGCCAATGCGGCGCTCAGCAATCCCATTTTGCTGTGGAGAGGCCAGAAGCGTGAACGTCTGGCGGATGCCCCTCGCACGGCAGAAGGCTCGCAGAAGGTCGGAGGAAAACTCTCCACCTCTGTCGGAGTGCAGACGCAGAACAGGAAAGTCCGAGCCGAAACTCTCTCTGAGCTGGAGACGAGCAGCGCGGATCCAGTCGATCAACACCCCAGTGACCTCACCCTTGGTGCGCAAGGGGAAGACTGCGGTGTAACGCGAGTAGTCGTCAACCACCAAGAGGAAGTAACGCTCGTGACCCTGTCCACGGACGCGGGCTGGGCCCCACACGTCCATGTGAAGAGTCTGCAGCGGAGCCTCTGTCGGCGGAAACTCGGAGGAGTGAGGAGCGGCGCGCTGCCGCCCCTCGACGCAGG